CTCTAATCATCAGGAAAAGAAATGAAACTATTCCATTCAGCGTAACACCCTGTCATTAACTGTGCATTGGCCCCGTGTCAGGGCGTCTAAATAATTTACAATCTGCATGAAAAGCAACGAATCGCACCTTATTTCAAACGCACCAAAGATTACGCACGGGGCTTCAATATTCTCCAAATCCACAGTGAAGAATCCACTGTCATTTAAGTATTCTCAGTAATCATAAGTGCCCCGACTGTCTTTTTTTTCTCGGGTGAATTATGAAGGAGGAATGTGCTGCTGGCACTTTGTCTCCCTTCTATGATTTGGAGGCAGCTGGAGAGTAAATACAGGGGAGGTGGTGGCGGCAGACCTGTCACTCAAATTGGACCCACCGCTTTCTCAAAACTTCTCCTAATGGATCTCACTGATTGAAAAAAATATCTTAAAAATAAAAGAGACAGGACTCTGCGTCTGTTGTAGCCCATTAATCATTATGATCCAGCTTCTGCAATGCGAGATAACTTGGTAACTCCCACTCCTCTTGCACTCTCCTACGTTTAAAAGCCTTTATCGGTCCTAAAGGAAGTCAAACTCACTGAACAAAGTAGCCATCAAGGCTCACTTGCGAGGAACTAAATGAGCCGGAAATAAATACGTCTGATTTGCGACATGATTACTGTCTAAGTTTGATGTGAAAATAAACCCATGATTAAAGTGATTTCCAACTTTGGAGACAGACCCAAAGCTCAGACAGCAGCTGGCCCTTGTCTCCTCACTAAAGAGCAATATTTTCCAACCCTATCCGACTGTATCGCCACGGTTTATCAGCGGGAACTGTATTTTTACAGTAGTGTCAAAACACGCTTTGCTGCAACTTGAATATTCAGTTGACAAATCAGACCAGAATACGACTATAACAGCGAGTTTGTGGCTCGGATGTCACGTACAGCAGGAAGACTGGGATTCACATAAACATTTGCAACCAAGACAAGTCCCGAAGAGCTCACAGAAAAAAAAAAAAACTTCAAATAGACATGCTTAATTCCTTGACCTTGAACACTGAGCAGATTTCTAAGCCGAATAGAAACACACCTTCAATAATTTCAGTGCGCTAAATGAAATATGTGTTTTCGAATGTGTGTGTGCATGTGTGATGTTTCTTCATCTCTCTTCATCTTTTGATTGCTTTAATTACAGACTTACTGTCAGCTTCCCACTCGGTGCGCAGGAAAAACAAACTCTTAGGGCACATGAAAAGAAGTCTCAAATGCCTACACACATACACACACCACACACAAACACACACACACTCTCTCTCTCTCTCTCTCTCTCTCTCGTATCACACACCTATCGCAGCTCCAGTCAGTCAGCAGGCTCTTTGATTCTCTGCCTGCCGGTGATCTGTCTTTCATCGTCTCCTCTCCTTGATCCCTTGTTCCCCTCTTTAGCTCTGCTGGGGCAGAACATCTCTCTCCCTGTCTCTGTGTCTGTCTCTGTTTATTTTGCATTGGCTGTAGGTGGGAAGCCTAATCTGCAACCTGGAATTCAACTGTATGTCTTGTTTCTTCCTTCAAACCAACACCTATCATAGAGCGACTGCAGGACAATGCAGTCCTCTCAAAAAAAAAGAAGTCTGCACATTAGCATATTTCTGTTTTTTGAGAGTTATGGTGTCACCTTGGCTGGTAATTCCTGATTATGCAGCGCTGTAACAAACTATTAACGAGTCTCCAAGAGTCCAAATCAATGCTGGACAAGCCGTTTATCAACTACAATGAATTATTTGTCGGGATAAGCAGGCCAGAATTTAGCCACAACTGTCACTGTATCTGCATCAGCCGTTGTCTGTTTGTTTCCAGATTTATCACAAAGTAGTCGTGCATTTTCACACCTCTTGAAACAAATCTGTGGGTTTTCCGGCTATTTGTCACCAGCAACAGTTGGATGGGTGCGGTGGTTAGAGAAGGGGGATCTTCACAGCTAAAATCCTCATCAATCCATTTAAAACTTTAAGAATTAAAAGTTCTCACTCAGAGGTGTTTGCAAACCATCATAAACATCCATGCCTGCCACCACAAGCAGTATCAGGAAGGCGTAAAACGGATCACGCTATCGCCTCAGATCCTGCAGGCATCTGCACAGGTGCCCCAACGCTGATCCCTCACAGACTTCCCACCAGCTGACTTGTCTCACCGAGCAGAAACATCTCAACCGGAGATTAAACCTGCCACGGTGCACAAGGCTTCCTTTAGGTGCCAACCAGCACACAACAGTCTGTTTTAACTTCGTTTAAAGGCACAAACTCGTCTATTTGTGTGTTTTCAAGACCTCGCTCGGTTGTTCAGTTTTTCCATAACGTAAGACATAAAGCACCAGACCTCTCTCCACAAAGTCTGTGCAGAAGAGACTGATGTCTAACTGAAGTAGGTTCCTCATACACAGGGCTGCTAAGTAAACACAAATTAGACCACAAACCCCAATTTGATTAAACTTGCTCCCCGGGGCCTGCGTGGTGAGGTTTCAACTGTTGATTTACTATTGGTTTGTTGATCTGTCTGCACTGTGCATGGGGAAATAATAGCGGTGAGAACGAAACCTATGATTAGAAAAGCTCTGTGCTTTTATGTTGCTTTGGTGGGATTATTGTACATAAATTAAAATATAATGAAGCGCAGCTACCTCTCATTTTGTCGGGGACCTCCTGGAAGCCCCCGAGGGAGCGCAATGAAGATCCACTACTCTGTCCTCAGCTGTTGCTCTGCCTGTCCTGACGACTGAGAGTAATGAGTGATTAGTCACTTTAAGAATTGTGAAAAGAAGCCGGGGTTATATTGTCAGAAAACAACTTTTGTTTGCAGAGTTAAGTGGATGTGCATTGGTTTGAGCTTCACGTGTTGAGCATACTCAACATTCTTAAATGCAGATTACAGTTTTACAGCCGGTGTTTTATCACTTAAAGCAAATAATTCTGGCACTTTGCCTGTTTTCTGCATACCTACAGTAAGCATACTACTGTCAATAACAATGCGAGTTTTGTGAGCTACTAACTAGCATGCAAAGCCCAACTTAAATGCAACAAAACTTGGGTAGAAGCATTTGAGTAAAGTCTAGATGTGCTTTTTCTAAATGTAAAAACAGAAAATTGATGCAAATGGAGATAAATGTGACTCTGAAAGTCCGACATCCCTACAAATACCCATTAGAATAATGTTAAGCATCATACAAAGTGTGCAGGGATCCATTCGCTCTTGCATATGTTCCTGGTTCTGGTGGGACAGCGTGGGTACGAGCCTCCGCCAAACAGTTGTACCATAAATTATGCCATGGAAAAACATAATGAGCTGAAATAACTTTACTTCTATAAGTAAACTCTGAATGACGTGTTTTGTTGAATTTCCTCTTAGATGTGTGAGGCATTACGAAACACTCAACCCCAGAAGGCCTCCTGAGCTCTATAAATTTCTCCACGGGAGGAAAGGGATATGCTGTGTGGATTGGTCTCAGCTGTGACATCTTACATAAATCTCAACATTAACTTTCACAGGGAAAACACAAGAATCCCTTCGCCTTTCACCGATTTTACTCCAAAATAAATAGAGTCATTGTGTGGGTTCCAATAGCGAGCGCTGTTAAGCGACAGAGCGACGAGTAAGTAAACAAATTATCTATTCACTTCGGCGTAGTATAGGATGATCATGACTACAGGCACAGGCTTTGTTAGTTTTTCTGCCTTCATCCCTTTAATCCTCAGAAACCATATTAACTTCTTTTGAAGATGAGTTACACTCCCTCCTGTTTCTTCTCTGCGTCTCCTTTTCCTTTCTACCTGTGAACATGAAAGATTCAATGGCAGCAGAGATGGGCTGCGCTGGGGGCTGCAGGGGGAGAGAGAGGCTCAGATAGAGGGAGACAGAGCGAGAGAGAGAGGGAGAGAGAGAGAGCGAGGGGGGATAGAGACGGATTGATTTCCACCTCCAGCAGCTTCAGTTCAAAGCCAGCCAGCAGACTTCAGAGGCTCGGCAGGACCCGGCATGTCCCCAGCCGGGCCAAGCTGCCTGTCTGCGGGCAGGACTTCCCCCGGGGGCCCCGGGGCCCGGGACAGTCAGGCGGCACCAAGAAAACAATTATGCAGACAGAGGAGAAAGGTGTGCAGGGTCACAAACGCACACTTGCTCAGACACAGACGGCCAAAAAGAAGAGCCTTATTCAAACTAAGTGACACGTGATTGATGTGATGTGACGTGTTATTAATGAAAAGCATTATAATTACTCTCTATTAGGAGATGAACTATCCAAACTCCTGCGCTACTGTCTGCTTTTTCCAACAAAACTCATACAATCACAACTTAGAGTACAAAGTCAGGGGCTGCCTGCTCAACATTCACAATCACAGCCTTGTCACAAAGCAACTGAGGCCCAAACTGTAACTCCAGTGATGTGAAAAATGAAAAACAATCTAATTTGTCTACCACCGTGGGCTAAAAACCTCTGCACCAACACGTACAGAACCTTTCACGTACTTCAGAACAGTTTGATGGTATGCTTTAGACTTACACACGGTTTAAAAATGCATTTCTGTAAGATGACATCCATGCAAATCAAAACACTGGAAATGTATTTCTCCATTCTCATGCACTTTACAACTACTCTGCATCTGCATAGTTAACCATAGAGTCATACTTTGGCAAGTCAGAGTCAGTCAGGTGTTTAGATGTATGTAGAGAGGAGGTTTTCTGTGTTGATCTTTTAAGACACTTCTGCATATTTTGACTCACAGTCATCATAAACCAAAGTCTGTATTTGTTTTTTCTTGCATCTTCAGCACTTCTTTCATAAAGCCTACATTTCCCTCACTAATCACAACAACAATCCATGCATGTTTCTTCTTAGATGTACAAAAAAATTACAGTAAAGCACATGTTTGCTTGGCATAAAAAAGTGTTGCTCAGGAATTTCCCCGAAGTCTTGCAGCAATCCGTCCCTGCATTCCTGAGAGCGGAGCTGCTCACACGTCTTACCTGGAGCTCCGGAGAGGGGGGCACACTGGTCTGGCTTCTGCTCTGCACCGCGGGATCAGCTGGCGGGCGATCAATCCTGGCGATCGGTGATCAATGTGTGGCGTGGTGTCGGCTGAGCATCGCCGAGGGACTGGCTGTCTAAGAGTTTCTTTACTCCGCGCAGCCCAAGTTGGGTCTCAGCCTCCACATTGGTGCATGTCGGTGTGTCTGCAGGCTCCTCCTTGATGAGGGAAAAAAAAAAAGTGAGAAGTTTTCTCCGCCCTGAATGAGACACAGATTAACGTGTCCCAGGTAGACTGACTTTCTGTGGGGGCAATTAACATGCTGCAGGCTACGACTCGAGCCCGCCATCTAGCGTTCACACGTGGCAGCGCAGCGGAGTCCGGACAGCAGACAGCGAGCTGCAAGGAGAAGATCAACAAGCGAGGTAACCCTGAAAAACACTGTCTCCATTAACAACAACAAAAAAACTGCTTGATTGATAATAACTTAAAGCTGATCACCACAACTGGGTCACTGGGGGACAGAACATCTGCTGGACTGGTTTGGCTCAGGACCTGGGTTTTACTGTTTATCCAAAAATGCTGATTGTTCATTTGACCCAACCCAGTGAGTGAAATTATTTCTCTTCCTGGGCCAAATACTACCCATGTACAGGGTTATTACCTGCCTCATTGCCTTCCTACTTTAATATTAAATACTGCTACTAATACTACTAAATAAATAAATGAGCTTTTCTGAATGAATACAGGGCTGCAGGGTGGCGCAGTTGGTTAGCACTGTTGCCTCGCAGCAAGAAGGTCGCCGGTTCGTGTCTCGGTGGGGGCACCAGAATCTTGAGTTTGCATGTTGCATGCAGCGTGGGTTCTCTCCGGGTTCTCCAGCTTCCTCCCACAGTCCAAAAACATGCTGAGGTTAATTGGTGATTCTAAATTGTCCGTAGGTGTGAATGTGAGTGTGCTTGGTTGTCTGTCTCTAAGTGTAGCCCTGTGATAGACTGGTTACCTGTCCAGGTGTCCCTTACCTTCACCCTGAACCAGCTGGGATAGACTCCAGCCCCCCGTGACCCTAGTGAGGATTAAGCGGTGTATAGATGATGGATGGATTGTTGGAAAATGTCCATCACAAGTTCCCATGATCAAATATGACGTCTTCAAAATTGCTTGTTTGTTAAATTCAAATATACTGATCAATGCAACACCATTACAGCTGCCATTATAATTGCTATGATTGGTTCTAATGCTGTTACTGAGGCTTTAGCAGTCCATACTAATGCTGTCACTACCTCTACTACCACTCTGCATTTTACCACACAACCAGAGACAGTACAATTGTGTAGTTGTCGTTGTTTTTGGTCCAGTAGATGCTCAGTACACAGTGACAACAGGACAACAGTGGCCAGATGAATAAATAAATATTATAATAGTTCAAAAAAAGAAGAAGAACAAGGGGGAAAAAAAGTCAATATTCCTTTGTGGTCAGTAAAATGTGGCATATTTATACTGACAATGGTGCCATTAAAGTGCTTTACCTGAACCTTGCACACACACACACACACACACACACACACGCCAACTCTCAGATGATAAATGTTTTTGAAACAGAAGGCATAAATTAGTTTGAGTGTGTCTGTGATGTAGCTGGCTGGTGCCTGATGTCTGAGTTGGACTAAAGCTTGGACTTTAGTCTTCCTCTCCTCCTCCTTCTGTCTCTTTCCGCTACTTCTTCTTCTTTTTCTTTTTTTTCTCACACACAGGAAGAATGAGATAAAAGAGGGGCTTTGAAAACACTGGGAGTCCTGTAATTACTTACTCTCCCTCTCACTCTCTGTCTCTCTGTCCTTTGCTTCATTCCCATTTTTCTTTTTCTCCTTATCTCGAATGTTTTTCCTCTTTCTCTGTCACTTTCTCTCTCTCTCTCTCTCTTTTTTTTTTTTGCACTTTCTCTGTCCCGTTTATACTCGGTTCCTCTCTCTACATCGTTCTGTCTCATTTCTTTCTTCTCGCTGCCTCTCTGTCTTTCCCCCTCCTTTCGAGTCTCATTGATGTCGATCCAGGGCTTCCTGACTGAAAAGGAGGATGAGAGGAGGAGAGATTAGATGAGAAGCGAGGATAAAGAGAGGATGAGGAGAGGATAACAAGAAGAGTGATGAGTTCTGCTGAGAGAATGATGGCTGCTCGGTCACAAACCGGACAAAAACACACATTAAGCAAAACCTGTATTTACTACGGCGCAGGATGTAACACAAAAACACCTTTGCATGAGGTGAAATGGGGGAATAACGTTATATTGGAATAATATGACCTATATGACAAAAGAGATGCTACACCTGGACGAAGCTATAATAAGAGATAAAAGGTTATTTACTCCTACAGCCTTTTCTAAAATATGATATGTAACCTGTGCAATATTTTTCTTTTATGATATTTCGAGACATAAACTATGATAGAAAAGGAAGCGTATTCATCTCATAGATCTTGTATTATGTGATGTTTGGGAGCCAGCGGGACATATTGACACATGTCAACATATACATTCACTCTTTACAACATTAAGAATAGCATAACAAGGCGCTAGCTGTCACTTACATTTCTTACTTACCCAGTATTTTCTCCTCACGCTATTTTCCTACGTTTTATTCTATTGGTGTGGTGTTGAGAAACTATGCAAAACAAATGAGCTGCAGAATTACTCGGCGAATCAGTGCAATCGTTGCTGGTGTACAGTTAGAGCCTCCAAGTTTTCTTAAGGTCACCACGCATTAATGTAGGACATCAGAGTTTTAAAGCAGCTGTCACTGGCTGCTTATCCTGATTTTTTTTACTCCCAATCAAAGTGCTGCAGCTCTGAGAAGACAGCAGTCAGCGGGGGCCTAATTTACTGCTTGGTGTAATGAAGCTAGGGTGACTTCAACTTACAACAAAATCATTAAAAATAAAGAAAAAACTTCCTCATGCTTTTTAATGTGTCCTGAAAAGGCTCTAACTCTTCCCCGGATGTTTAAAATATGGTTCGACATGTTTCAAAGACCGATGTAATATAGAAAAAAATAATAATAAAAAAAAGCAATGGCAGATGTCTGATGTGTCTCATATTTAATATTTACAGCCACAACCACTGGGCATAAAAAGTCACCGCTGAATCCCAGGGTTATGGTGACAATATAAAAAATATTTCTACATTATTCACTGCACAGCAACCAGCTTCCACACAAACAGAAAATAATAAAGAGAACCATAAGCTCATGCATCACATCACACTTAGAGCACCTCTAAAAAAAAAACTGTAAAATTGAGCAGATATTTTTGAGTATTATCTGAAGTACTAATATCTACAAGATCATCTCTTGAACTTGCTAGTAATTGTTTTCCCTTTTTTTTTCCCGTTGACGTGACGTCTGCCATATGTCTTGCGGAACACACACAATGCACCACAGAACCCACCTACGACAGACTCGATGACCTTGTTATTACCCCTGTAAATCTCCCACACGTACGTCGCCTGCGAGAACACACGCATGCAGCCTCTAACTACTCTTCGACGGGGAAGCAAAGAGCCGGTTGCCATGGTAACTGCCGTGTCAGCTAACCTACTTTTGCATGAACGAAAGGCATTGGCTGATGAGAGAGAGGTGTATGGTATAGGTACATAGAAAGGATACACCCCCCCAACACACACATGCACACACAGACACTCTGCATAATCATTATATTTGATTGGCTCAGGCAGACAAGATTTCACTTCTCTTCTGATCAATCCATGGGAGAACTCAGGTGTTTGCTGCGACATGATGGGACAAATTAGATTATTATTGATAAAGACAAGGATGACAGAGAAGTCTATGAAACTGTGGTGGACCCTGTAGATACCTAACTTCATGCAGAAGAAAACAGCAGCGCGATTATGGCTGTAAATGACGGTGAGGTCAGCTCAACGCAGTCCAGAGTTAAATCATCGTAACAAGGATTTCCCAAAGGACGGAATTCAATTTCACAACAGCTACACTGCAGTAATAAAAACAATGTGTTTCTTTTCATTTATTGCAGAAATAAAACTTAATGTGCAGTAATGCTATTGCAGCAATGTTAAATATGGAGCATAAAACACTTTAAGTTGATGGGAAACACACAAGAGCCCAAGTGTAACTAAGTTGTTTTGCCAAGTCTGAAGAACTCTGGGTACCACTCGGTTACCTTTAAAAAAAAAATGCAGTATCAGAATATTTAGGCCAACGAGCATAGCGCCTACAGGGGGGTTTAAATATAGTAAAAGTGAAATTCTAAGACTTATATGTATTATGTATTATGCAGATAATATTGTGTGACTGCAGTATATGAAAATAATATAACACGCATTTCTGTAAGTGCATCACTACAACATTAAATCAAGACAACGTTCACATATCTACCACCACAACATGCATTCATTGACCAGTGACAATGTCTAATACTGTGCAGGTGTCCCTTGTGCAGCAGAAACAGCTCTGACCCATCGGGACACGGACGGCCTCCTTGATCAGGATTGTTTTGGCACATCCCACAGATGCTCATCAGATTGAAATCTGGGGAATTTGAAGGTGCATTAGGCTCTTTGACATGCTCTCCAAGCCATTTCTTGTGGCGTAGCGGGGAGTCCTGTCCTGCCACGGGAGGCTGAGAAAGCTGCTGTCATGAGGGCGGGGGTGGTGCTTTGCGGTGATGTTAAGGTGGGTGGTATGTGTCAGGGTCCACACGACTGCCAGGACCCACGGTCTGCCAGCAGAACATCACATTGTAATGAGATGCTCAGCGGCACTCAGTTGAGCTGTCGGTGGTTTTAATGTTGTGGCTGATCGACGTGTACAGCTGCATTGTTGAAGCATGTGGAGCGAATGTCCATCCGTTAGATTTGTGTGTCGGTCTTAGTGACATCTCACAGAGCTGTTTAACCCTTGTATCACCAAAAGGAGAGTTATCACTCCTAATTGACGCGTCCGCTGGTTAAGCAGCATCCACCTTTTGTCTGTTACTGACAGCACTGCGTCCTACAGGGAGCCCTAACTATCCTGCTTAAATAGATTGAGGGGATTTTCATCCAATAATCATTTTTGTTCACTTCTCCCCGTAGTTCTCCTCTAATTCTGAATCATTGGCTGTGGAGAATTGCATTAGGCAGATGAAACACACTGGGCATAGGACATGAGTGGGTATGATAAAGAGGGAGGGAGACATCATGAATTTGGGCTCGTTGCCAGCACTCGTGGGCTGCTGCACTAGTGAGGCGTTCGGAATCAAGGCTCGAGAACAACAACAACAACAACAACAACAACGCACATACTTTGAGAGGCTGAATTACTGAAGCATTGTTCTGCAGCCACGGGGACACAAATAGAGCTAAAAGAAATGACACGTCTCTGTTGATGAAACGCACGGGGAGCTGAGAAACTGCTTCAAAGTGTTCGAGTTAGCCCATTGTTTGACCTTGATTTCACTTGAGGTTGAAAATGACTAAAACCCCCTCTTGCATTTTGTGTTTTCTGGATTTGGGAGTCTTCCGTGGCTCATTGTTTTCTGTCATTTTTTAATTTGCAGCTATACGTACTGCCATGCACGGGGACTTCAGAAATAAATTAGCCAGCGTTTCATTCTCCGTGCAGCTCAGTCCCCGGGCCGCATTTCATTATGTTATGTGTTTTTGTTGAAAGCTTCACTTGTTCTCTATAAGCATGTACATACAGAATGACGATGTGTGTGTTTATATCACAATACTGTCATGAAAACCTTTGCCGTGCTGTAACTTTGAGGTAAAATGATTTACAGCGTACAACAGTTTCCAGTGTTTCCAGTAATGTAAATGTGGTTGCAACCCCCCCACAACCCCCTTCTTTCTCATTGTATGCTTAAGCAGTCCACTCTCTGCTGTTCGTCGTGGGTGGTAAATAGTGGGCCCACCCCTCAACCAGGAAGGCGTCACATTAGTCACACACACACACACACTGACAGAGGCACACACACACACACACACACAGTCGCCTTAATCACGCCGTACCCCTCCTGAATGTGAAAGCAGAGCAGGTCTGAACAGGTGGACGAGCAAAGCAAAGGCAGTCATGGCTGAGAAACAACACACACGGGCCTGTTTCCATCACTTCAGAGGACATTGCGCAGACTTACATTCATTTGTTGGAGCTTTACCGTAACCTCGCTCGTACGACTTGCCCAAGCCTTAATCCCGCAGTAACTTTAACCTCAAAACCTTAAACCCAACTCTGAAATGCAATGATTTACGATACGTGGGCTCGCAATACGACTGTGTAAGCAGATTAATGCCCCCTCAGCATAACTCATTCTCCTGTCCGTTATCTGCGCGTCGGGCATGTGACAGAATTTATCCTCAAGAAGCGGTTGAGTGGAAATGCAGTTTTCACTTGCATCTTAAAATATGTAAAAGTCGCACCTTTTAATTAAAGACGGTCTTGCACATTCTCTAAGCATGCAGATGGCTGAAAAATTAGCTGAAAAAGTGTCTCGGTAAGGTGTGAATGAGCATAATTCTTCCAAAAGACGCTCGTTATTTGGCGATTTGACGACAGTGCTCCTACGTGCTCATTGAAAATCTCCCATAGGTGTTCAGTCAGGGTGAAACCTGGTGACTGCGAAGTCCACATCGTATGATTCACATCATTTTCGCGTTCATCAAACCGCTCAGTGACCTTTTCTGCCCTGTGGATGGGGGGGCATCCTATTCCATCAGGACAGAGAGGTTTCATCAGAGGATTACAGTGATCGCTCAGAACAACTCGGTATTGATTTACAGTAACCCTTCAATCTACGGGGACAAGTTGACCCAAACTATTCCTGCAAAATACTCCTACAGTAGAGCAAGCAGAGCCACTCAGGTAAGGGTCAAGGGGTTAGATTTCTCTTGAACCTGTCAGTATATGTAATGTAATGTGGTTGATATGGAAGCGTGTACACATTTAGTGAAACTTGGAAAAATCTGGTAATTAATCCCAAAACTTCTGATTAGATTTAGTCGTGTACCTATGTTTTGTTTTAACATGATCTTACTTTACTAAATCCTGGCCTCTATGCCTGTAGGCCACATGGAAGCAAACCCATTGGTTAACTTTCACTTGTGATTTCATTCCAGAGAAACAAAGAAACGCACACATCAGCTGGTGACCACCAGGCGGCGCCTCAAACCACCTTTTCCCCCCCAAAAAAGCTGGATGTAGTTACTGAGGTAATCAACAAGGATGTCAGCTCCTGTCAGGTGGGCATCACAGAGAGAGACACGGCGGATAAATCGATCCCACGCTGGGATTTTTTAAACATTATTATTTGGTGTTTTTTGTGTAGACTACTTGTAGCTGGGCTTGACTTTAATAATAATAATAATAATAATAAAAATCAAACACAAAATCAAAAACAACAACCTAAAATGAACTTCTGCTTATGAAACGCTCGTGAGGATTCAGGGGACTGTTTGGTTTACTGCTGCCGGCGCGTGCACGTCTCTGTCAGCAGGTGAGCTGAACCTTTGAGCCTCTGAAAGGTGTGACAGCAGCAGCGGCCCTTCAGAAGCTGTCAGGGGAGGAAGACCTGGCTGGTGGGAGAGAAGCAGCACCGAGGGGGGCTGCGTGGATGCCCACGGAGGGAGGAAGGTCTCTCTCTCTCTCTCTGTCTGTCTTTATCAATCTGTCTTTGGTGCGTGAGCGCGCACCGCAATTCTGATCTGCGCGCGGATGATGATGATGATGAGAGCGTGACCTCACCGCTTTCTGCACAGCTGCTGGAGAGAGAGAGAGAGAGAGAGAGAGAGGGAGGAAGAGAGAGAGGAGGGAGAGACTGTGCGAGAGAGACGCTGCGAGCCAGCCAGCAACACAAACACGTTGAGGGAGACAGCAGCCGGAGAACGTCCACAGCACGGGGGGATAAACTGCGAGTGGACACCGAGGCGTCCGTGGGCTGCTTCCCGCCGGCTCGCCTCCCAGAATGTTCTGCGCCCCCGGTCCGTTCCCACCACGGTACGCGAAACAGTCGCCGCGGCGTCCCCACGGACACTGAAGCCCAGATGCTCACCCTCTCCGCCGACATGGACGACTCCTCGTCGCTGCTGGATCTGCTGGAGTGCTCGGTGTGCCTGGAGCGCCTGGACACCACGGCCAAAGTGCTGCCGTGCCAGCACACCTTCTGCCGCCGCTGCCTGGAGAACATTGTCAGCTCCCGGAACGAGCTCCGCTGCCCGGAGTGCCGCATCCTGGTGGACTGCGGGGTGGACGACCTGCCCGCTAACATCCTCCTGGTTCGCCTCCTGGATGGTATCAAGCAGCGGCCCCAGCGAGGGAGCGGAGGAGGAGTAGGAGCGGGCGGCAGGCAGTCCCTAGCCGGGGGCTCCCTGCAGGGGTACGCAGCCGGGATATCCGCCTCTCCTCCGGGCACTGCGATCAGAGAGCTGCCTGTGGCCACCAGGAGCTCCCCTGTTAAGGTTGGTTACTTTCCATCATGCTCGATGTGGTGTCTGCATCTCTTCCCCAACACTTTGGTTAATACGACATTTTGTGAATGATCTGCACAGAACAGAACTTTGAGGCTGGTTCCGTCTGCTCACTGCTGCTCCGTTCAGCAGCAGAAATCAGGGGAAGAAGGTTTTGAGGACAAGCACACAGAGGAATTACTCACTGTTTATGTTTACTGGAGCCGGGAACAGTGTGTTCAGCATGCACACAGAGGGATCCAGCTGCTGTAGCCTATAGTTACATGCTAATGTGCAGACTGGGTCCTGGTTGTTCACGCAGAGACAGTGATTGCAGCATAGACTGCTTGATGAGTGGGATGAGCAGGAAACTTGTTCGACTAGAGGAGTCCAAGTTATGAAGCACGGTGACAGAGGAAGGAAAAGTGGGAAAGCATTACTTCCCCTGATGTCTACATTTGTATTAATGGAAAAGCAGAAATGCATCATTGTGGTTTCCTCAGACTGTTGCAGACGCCGTCCACTGACTGGTTTGTGATGTTGTCTATTGATTGCCACTGAGGCTTGATTATAGTGAAGTGAGTTAACAAGAGGGGAAGGGAGGCGAACTGGACGGACTGAGAGAATCACTGGCCAGTGTTATAGTTGCAATAGTCCAGGCGAAGTCCAGTTGGCCACTGACTGCAGCAGTGTGAGCTTTTATAACCCACACTGGATGGGAATGAAGCGAAGAGCCGTGTTTACATCCTATGCAGTGCATCCGATGCGTTGTCTCGTGGCTGTTTAAGAAGGTGGGAGGCAGCAGAATGTGATCATCATCTGTGAGCTGCAGAAATGTTCCCTTTGTCTGGAATCTAAAATCTTGCACTTGTGGTGAGATAGGAACGCCCGGCAGAACTGTTGTTTCACTGATTTCAGATATTTCCCAGAAGCAAAAGTTTAACATCCAGGGCTGCAATTAACAAACAGATAAGTACCAAAGTGAGGGCGTGGATTCTAGTTGAAGAAACTTTTAGTTCACGTGTTGTCAGTGATGATGTCAGTGTCCAGTGCCCCAATGCCGGACAGTCAAAGCATAAAATACAGCACCCAATGGCTCCATTAACCAACTGCAGTCTCTGAAATGTCAAAAAATTCAAATTCAAACTGAGAAGCAGCCCCAAAAAAAGAAAATTCAGTCTACGAGGATGTCGAACAGAGAAATGTGAGGCGGTGTCAGTAGGACCTTGGGAGAACACTGCATTCATGTTGAAGTTAAATAGATCCTTTAGCAGAGAAGCCAGAGAAGCTACTTCACCCCATTGACAGAATTCTTACTTTTCCGGTTTTGTTGAAAGGCAAGATTTCCAGATTTCCTTCGGTGCCACGTTATAAAAATGGGTTTATTCTATTCGTCTCCGGTGTTATTTTTGATATGTGCGATGGGATTTCTCAGAGTTGGAGCGCAGGAGGGTGTATGTTCACGTTCAGCCTTTTTTTTCTTTTTTTTTTTGTCTTCTGGGTTTAGTGATGTCCCCAGTGAGAGGGCTGCAGTGAGTATTCAGGCAAATAAAGCCATTACCATGAGCTCTCACACCCCCTTACTCAGTACTTGACTTGTCAGGTAAGCTAGCCATTGATTGAAGCAGTGGAGCGCTTTGGTGCGATGAAGTGCGGGAGCGCTGAGCAGCGCCGCTCATTCATGGCGATGAACAGGAATCCAAACCCTCAGTGACATTTCCACTAACACTTAAGACTCTATTCTAATTCAGTCATTAGGCTTTACTGGTCCTTGCAGGGCAGTTTGGAAGCCTGGCGCATACAGAAAAAAAAAGCAGAGCAAAGACGTGGCAATATAGGATTTACATAACGGCAGTATGGCTATGTTGGAAGTGCAGGAAAGTCGTTCATGTAATTTGTAATTTATATTTAGGAAGATCACAAAGCCGCAACTTGATTTAGAATTTGCAGCAGAAAATGATGGAATCAGAAAATATAGACTTGCTGCTATTTGTGACTGTTAATGAGTGATGATGGTGTGACTGATTACTTCCTTCAGCTTCATTAACATCAGAAGCTGTGTTTACTGTGCGGCTGTTAACAGTCGCAAAAAATATACACCTTCATTTCTTAGTTGTGGCCAGTCTGTGCTTGTTTTAGGGCCCCTCCGGGAGAGCACTCCACTGTGGACTTAGCTTTTATTGCCGGTGGACACACACACGCGCGCTCGCTCGCATGTACGCACACACACCTATAACCCATTACCCCCTGCAATTCCCCTTGCAGTCACTTTGCCCAAGTCTCCTCCAGGCTCTCTGGGGACCGAGGCTTGGTGATGAAAGTGTGAATTAATCTCCTTTAACAGTGGGGCTTATGTGTGTGTGCATGTGTGTGTGTCTGTGTGTGTGTGTGTGTGTGTGCATTTGGATGGACATCCCTCTGCGCAGAAAGAGCAGGGGTCTCGCTAAGGGAGTTAAATCTGCCTTTGAGTGACAGCGCTAGCACATACACAGACACTCGCGCACGGCTGCTGCAGGAGTCAAAGAGGTGAAACAGAACACTACATCAGTTATTAAGGGTTGTAGATGAGAATGAATGGGTTGCTATGGAAATTGAAGAAGAGGCAGGCTTGCTGAATCAGCAGCGAGACCAGCTATCCCATCCGCTGTGCGTGCTGTCGGAGCCTCCGTTGCTGCCTTTGTACTTTCACCCAATTAGAGTTTATCAAGGCCGATCATTTCTAATTTGCAAATCGCTGTGTGAAATGAAGTTCTCACAAACAGAACGCTTTCTGACAGACGCTAAACTACAATAAGCACCTGCATTGATCTTGACACGTGGGGTTCGTCTACAGTTTTCATACCGATATTTCATCTTACCTGTCATCTCCTGTGCTGAGTCAGGTCAAGCGTTCAAGAGCTGAGCTGCTAGTCTTGCTGCAACAGCCTGTTTGCATTCGACGACTTCGGCAACCCCATAACTAGTCCCTCGGTCGCTGCGTTGTGCATCAGCTGTTGCAGAAATGACTCGACGATTGTTCTCACATTCACAGACAGCACAACCGGTATACAAACAAAAGAGGTGTTTTAACAGTTTAGCGATGGCGTGTAAACGGCGCTGGAATGCATTTGTGTGAAAATTTGTGTTTTCATTTTCGAATAGGACAAGATGTTCATAAGGAGCCAATCTCTTTAGTCTCCCTGTCAGCCAGTTGTGCTGCTTGACCTCACGCTGACACTTAGTCATGGCGCTGTTCATGTAAGATGATCCATTCTGATTTCAGTGCTGATAATCAGTCCTGCTTTTTATTTCAGCTTTGATTTTGCTTTGGTGCATTATCAGATAGTCCTCAACTCTAGTGGACATGGGGACTGTTCTTGTTACTAGCTATGCTGTTTTTTTAGTCTGTTCAGCCTCTGTGTTTGTTTGTTAGCTGGATATCCCAAAAATGTGCTTTGGTTTTTTCGTTTAATTCAGTGGCGTATCAGATCATGGTCCAACGATAAAGCTATTCAAGAAATGGTATTTGTTGTTGTTGTCTCATGAAGTGCTGCATGCTCTGCTGCATATTGATCCATTCTTTCAGTTTGGAGATTTTCACAATTTGTTTTTAATGCTGCCATAACGCAGCCTTGGTGGAGGTAGCCGCTCTGTAAGTGCCGTCCACTTCACATATTTGTTTCTGTGCTTACAAGAAAAACACTTCAAACTGAGTCGGATTCCTGCTTTAGTTGTGGTCTTTGTGCCGTATGTGATTCTTAAACATTTCTTGCCAAATCATGGCCTTGGATAGAAAATAAAAAATGCAGAGCAGTGCATTTATAGAAGCAGTTTACACAGGGATGGTCTGGTTTTTTTTTGTTTTTTTTCACAGCGCAGCGTGCGTCAAAGTTTATTTTTGAATGATGTGTTCTGGTAAATATCCCATACTGTGAATAACTAAGCCTCCAGACAAGAACAAAAAAACTCATCTGCCTGCTTCACAACATGCAGAAATAAACACCTGTTTGATACGGAGCGTTTTGCCTCGAGTGGATCTTCAGCTGCATAGTTTAAAAACAGGTCAGTATTTGAGACTGCGTTTAAGTGACGCATTAAAACGTTATTAAATCAATACCTGGCAAAGACAGCGGGGGATCATGTTGCATACATTTTTACTGGCTTTCTTCGTGCAGGTTGGCCTTGGCAGGTCCTCTTGGAGTGCATTGTTTCCTTGAGGGTGGCGGCTTTGGGGATTACGTGGTCTCTCATTTACACCTCAGTGACAAACCCAGGTTTTTGTTTGGTATTCATAAAGTAAATCTATTTGTCTGTTCATCCATCTGCCAGTGACAGATTTAGTCTGGGGAGGGATTAATTTTGGACTCTACTGCATAGCATTAAACATCTTATGTTTAATCATTTTTATGTCATGAAGAATCCAGTGCTTTCCCCACGATCGTAATCTCGTCTGATGCCGACCACGAAGATTTCACACCAGAGCTTTGACGATCATAATCAATTTTCTTCTCATAGACGCTCAATGTGTGACTGATTAGTTATCAAATATGTATTCAAGCAAACTGCAGCATACCCGTCACATTAAAGGGGAACCTAACGTGATTGGTTCTTTATTGTAAACCCAGTTTCATCAGCAGATCTTCATCGTACACTGCCAGGAATTACAGGCGTCGTTGCATTGTCGTCTGCTGCTTCCTCCTCGCCTGTCCAATTTCCATCAAAGCGCCGTGTCACAAAGATCCCGACCCTTGATCTTCTCCCTCACCTGTATTTACCTGGGATTGCTATGGCGATGCCTGAGGTTACCATGGTAGCGTAATGCAGCAATGACACCATCTGCTTTCATCTCTAGAGTGAGACATTGCTTTGCCCTGTCATTCCCAAGGATTAGGCAGGGGTTCAAAAAAGGAAATAGTCTCTTTCCAATCCCTCTAATGATCCTTTGAACCTCTGTCCAAACAACACACACCCAAACGCATGCACGCACACAGACAGACAGACAAAGCATAACCTAATTCTGTCCTTAGCTCAAG